TCATGCTTCTCTCTTGCCACAGATGACAGAGGCAACAGCAGTGTCTGCCCTGGCTCCCTCTCCTCCTGGTGAAGAAGCCAAAGAGGAGCAAATTGAGGACTATGACAACGAGTCTCCATCAGGGGTCACAGCAGAGCATGACACTTCTGAGCCAGTAAGTGCCAGATGTGGGTGGTGCTGTCTTTAGTGCAAGGCACAGCTGCAAGTTTCTGACCAGCAAGCTCTTGCTGTGGCTGCCTGAGGATGCTGAGTACTGCAGTCCTGCCAGGACCCAGCAAGTTCCTGCAGGCAGTGACCTCCAGCTACAAATTGGCTTTGAAACTATCATTTTGAGGCACCAAAGAGCTGGGGGTTCTGGCTGAGCTTCTGGCTGCTCAGCTCAGGGAAGTTCTGTCTCTGGGCTTCTGCAGTGCTGTGGCCAAAGGCACAGGACATAGTGCTGCGGGTGGCAGGGCTTGGTTTGTTTGTTTTCCCTTTGTGGAAAGGCGTGTTTGGCTTGTGGAAGTGATCTGAGTGTTTTGGAGTAGTTCATCACTTCTACATTCTCTATTCTAAACTGCAAGGAGATGATTGTATTGTCCAGGAATCTGTGGGGTGCCATTCTTGTAGGGTGTGGCCAAAGAAACCAAGTGCCTCATTGGGAAGGCTTCTTTGCGGCAAAAAGCAGAAGTAGGAAGCTTTAGTGGATGCCTTTTGCAATGAACCCACAGCTTTGGAACTGGCATTAGGGCCTAGGGTGGGGGTGAAGCTGCAAGTCCTTGACTGCTGTCTTGTCTTGCTGAGAAGAGGCAGGACGTCTCTGAACCGGAGATGATGTACTTGAAGTCAAACAGGCAACTTTGTGACTGGGCAGCTGTGTGGGCAAAAAGGACCCAGGGGTGCCGGTCAAGAGCAGCTGAAGGTGGGCCAGCGCCTGGCCAGGTAGCCAAGAAGGCGGAGGGCATCGTGGCCTGTGTCAGCAGCAGTGGGGCAGCAGGAGCAGGGCCGTGACCGTCCCCCTGGGCTGGGCAGCGCTGCGGCCAGAGCTGGGAGTGCTGTGTCCACTTGTGGGCCCCTGTGAAGCAGAAAGTCCTTGAGAGGGCTGGAGCGTGTGCAGAGAAGGACACGGGAGCTGGGGAAGGGTGTGGAGCGCAATCCAAGGAGGAGGTGCTGAGGGAGTTTCAGCTTGGACAACGGGAACCTCATGAGAGACTTTCAGGCACACTTCCATGGATCTATACGTGACAGTGCTCACCACCAGGGCTGTTTCCCTGCCAAAAATGTCCTCACTGCCTCCAAGTGTTTTAGCCACCTGAGGAGGGGACACTTTTGATTTCTGGTTTGTTTCTTTGCTAGGAGGAGAAGACCTGCCCATTATCTTGCTTTCCAACCAGCACAGATTCTTCTGCACAAACTTTTCCTGCCCTTTCCACACACCGGATGTGATTCTGATCCAGTTTGAGTTTTCTATGTCTGCCGCAGCAAAAGCAAAGGCCTTGCTGGCTCTTATCTACTTTTCCATTTCAGGGCTTTAAAGAGACAAAAGCTCTTTTGTGCACAGGAACAGTTGCTTGCTATAGCAGCCAGAAAGGACTATCAAATACATAGAGTGCATCAAATAGAGTTCTGTTGGGTTAGTCCATTTTAATCTGGTCAGAGTGCCTTAGAATCCCTTTGCTAACAAAGTTGATAATTTCTCCTTCAAAGAGGTGTTTGTGGATCCGAGGAGAAAGGAGGCTATAAATGATAGGTAATGGCTGTCCGTCATGCTTCTCTCTTGGCACAGATGGACGAAGGAACAGTGGTCTCTGCCCCAGCTCCCTCTCCTCCTGGTGAAGAAGCCAAAGAGCAGCAGCAAATTGAGGAGTATGAGCACGAGGCTCCATCAGTAGTCACACCAGAGCCTGACACTTCTGAGCCAGTAAGTGCCGGTTGTGGGTAGTGCTGTCTTTAGTGCAAGGCAGTGCTGCAACTTGCGCTTTTGTATTCCAAAGCTTTCAGATTTAAATGGTCAGTTACAGAAACAGATCATTTTAACATGATAGCAGACAGGGTGGAATACTAATTCAGAGCAATTTGCATTTCAGTTGCATTAGCCAAATTCAATACCATGAGAGTGTCTTAGAATCCCATGGCAATCAAAGTTTCTCAATTTTCCTTGGAAGATATGGTGGTAGATGTGAGAAGATAGGAGGTTATCATAGATAACGGCCTGTCCCTCATGCTTCTCTATTGCCACAGATGACAGAGGCAACAGTAGTGTCTGCCCTGGCTCCCACTGCTCCTGAAGAAGAAGCCAACGAGGAACAAATTGAGGACTTTGACCGCGAGGCTCCATCAATGGTCATACCGGAGCCTGACAGCTCGGAGCCAGTAAGTGCCAGTTGTGGGTGGTGCTGTCTTTAGTGCAGGGTAGAGCTGCAAGTTTCTGAGCAGCCAGCTCTTGCTGTTGCTACCGGAGGATGCTGAGTGCTGGAGTCCTGCCAGGACCCAGCAAGTTCCTGCAGGCAGTGACCGCCAGCTACAAATTGGCTTTGGACCGGTCACCTTGAGGCACCAAAGAGCTGGGGGCTCTGGCTGAGCTTCTGGCTGCTCAGATCAGGGAAGTTCTGTCTCTGGGCTTCTGCAGTGCTTGGCCAAAGGCACAGGATGTAGTGCTGCAAGTGGCAGGGCTTGGTTTGTTTGTTTTCCCTTTGTGTAAAGGTGTGTTTGGCTTGTGGAAGTGATCTGCAATTCTCTGCAGTAGTTCTTCTCTTGTACATTGTCTTTTGACTTTTGCTAAGCTGCATGATTATGATTATGCTGTCCAGGAATCTGTGGGGTGCCATTCTTGTCAAGTGTGGCTCAAGAAACCAAGTGCCTCATTGGAAGGCTTCTTGTGCGGCAAAAAGCAGAAGCAGCAATTTCCTGTGGATGCCTTTTGCAATGAAACCTGCAGCTTTAGAAATGGCATTTCAGCCTAGGTTCGGGTTGAAGATGCAAGTGCTTGACTGCTGTCTTGTTTTGCTGAGAAGAGGCAGCACGTCTCTGAACTGGGGTTGCTGTACTTGAAGTCAAACAGGCAACTTTGTGACTGGGCACCTGTGTGGGCCAAAGGACGCAGGGGTGCCGGTCAAGAGCAGCTGAAGGTGGGCCAGCGCCTGGCCATGTAGCCAAGAAGGCCGAGGGCATCGTGGCCTGTGTCAGCAGCAGTGGGGCAGCAGGAGCAGGGCCGTGACCATCCCCCTGGGCTGGGCAGCTGGAGAAGGCTGTGGAGTGCAAGGCCAAGTAGGAGGTGGTGAGGAAGCTTCAGCCTGGACAACAGGAGCCTCCTGAGGGTCCTTCAGGAACACTTGCATGGTTCCATACGTGACAGTGCTCACCACCAGGGCTGTTTCCCTGCCAAACATGCCCTCACTGCCTCCAAGTGTTTTAGCCACCAGAGGAGGGGACACTTTTGATTTCTGGTTTGTTGCTTTGCTAGGAGGTGTAGCCCTGCCCATTATCTTGCTTTCCAACAAGCGCAGATTCTTCTGCACAAACCTTTCCTGGCCTTTTCACACACTGGAAGCAATTCTGATCCAGTTTGAGATTTCTATGTCTGCTGCAGCATTAGCAAAGGCCTTGCTGACTATTTCCTACTCTTCCATTTCAGGGCTTTAAAGAGAAAAATGCTTCTTTGTGCAGAGGCACAGTTGCTTGCTTTTGCAGCCAGAAAGGACTATCGAATACCTAGAATGCATCAAATAGAGTTGTGTTGGGTCACCCCATTTTATTCTGGTTGGAGTGCCTTAGAATCCCATTGCTAACAAAGTTGATAATTTCTCCTTCAAAGGGGTGTTTGTGGATCCGAGGAGAAAGGAGGCTATAAATGATAGGTAATGGCTGTCCGTCATGCTTCTCTCTTGGCACAGATAGATGAAGTAACAGTGGCCTCTGCCCCGGCTCTCTCTCCTCCTGGTGAAGAAGCCAAAGAGCCCCAGCAAATTGAGGAGTATGACCACGAGGCTCCATCAGTGGTCACACCAGAGCCTGACACTTCTGAGCCAGTAAGTGCCAGTTGAGGGTGGTGATGTCTTTAGTGCAAGGCAGTGCTGCAACTTGCGCTTTTGTATTCCAAAGCTTTCAGATTTAAATGGTCAGTAACAGAAACAGATCATTTTAACATGATAGCAGACAGGGTGGAATACTAATTCAGAGCAATTTGCATTTCAGTTGGATTAGCCAAATTCAATACCATGAGAGTGCCTTAGACTCCAATTAGAATCAAAGTTTCTCAATTTCCTTGGAAGATATGGTGGTAGATGTGAGAAGATAGGAGGTTATAAATCATAGATAACGGGCTGTCCCTCATGCTTCTTTCTTGCCACAGATGACAGAGGCAACAGTAGTGTCTGCCCTGGCTCCCACTGCTCCAGGAGAAGAAGCCAAAGAGGAGGAAATTGAGGACTATGACCGCGAGGCTCCATCAATGGTCATACCGGAGCCTGACAGCTCGGAGCCAGTAAGTGCCAGTTGTGGGTGCTGCTGTGTTGTCTTTAGTGCAGGGCAGAGCTGCAAGTTTCTGACCAGCCAGCTCTTGCTGTGGCTGCCTGAGGATGCTGAGTGCTGCAGTCCTGCCAGGACCCAGCTATTTTGTGCAGGCAATGACCTCCAGCTATAAATTGACTTTGAACCTGTCATTTTGAGGCACTGAAGAGCTGGGGTTCTGGCTGAGCTTCTGGCTGCTCAGATCAGGGAAGTTCTGTCTCTGGGCTTCTGCAGTGCTGTGGCCACGGGCACCGGATGTAGTGCTGCAAGTGGCAGGGTTTGGTTTGTTTGTTTTCCCTTTGTGTAAAGGTGTGTTTGGCTTGTGGAAGTGATCTGCAATTCTCTGCAATAGTTCTTCACTTGTACAGTCTCTTTTGACTTTTGCTAAACAGCATGGAGATGATTGTGCTGTCAAGGAACCTGTAGGGTGCCATTCTTGTCAGGTGTGGCCAAAGAAACCAAGTGCCTCATTGGAAGGCTTCTTGTGCGGCCAAAAGCAGAAGCAGCATGTTCCTGTGGACGCCTTTCACAACGAAGCCTGCAGATTTTGGAACTGGCATTAGAGCCTAGGGTGGGGGTGAAGTTGCAAGTCCTTGACTGCTGTCTTGTGTTGCTGAGAAGAGGCAGGACATCTTGGAACTGGAGATGCTGTATTTGAAATCAAATGGGCAACTTTGTGGCTGGGCAGCTGTGTGGGCAAAAAGGACCCAGGGGTACCAGTCAAGAGCAGCTGAAGGTGGGCCAGCGCCTGGCCA